GGAGGGAGGGAGGGAGCGGGAGGGAGGGGGGGAGGGAGGGAGGGAAGGAGAGAGAATAAAGCAGTGAAGTGTGTGGGTTAGGATGTTTTATCTTTCAAGGCAATTAAGTAAAAATTGAGAAGGGTCATCTGAGACAACAGTGAACGGCCATTCACTAAGCTCTCTTGTATCTGAGGTAAAACCTGAATTAGCACCTACCACCACTTTTTATTCATTATTTTACTCTTTTTAATGCAAAAGATCCAGTCAAATATCTCCTTATTTATTTTGTTATCTAATCTTCACTAACTCATTTATTGAGGTCAGGTTTGAGGTTGGATTTAGATAGCCTAAAAGGCCCCTTTCAATTCTATTTTTCTATAATCATTTAATATAAATAATCTTTTTTAGAATGACAAGTAATCTGTGTGGGTCCCACTAAATAAGCAAACACCTTCAAAACACAGGAAAGAGATCTAAATAGTCACATAACAGAGTGCTCTTCCAGCTTAGCAAAACTGCTAATTTTGCAGATTCAGAAAACATTTAAAAGGAAACAAAAATAGGGGATGAACTAATTCCTGAGCCATTATGCAGAATTAAGCATTATACAGTACCCGTGTTTCATTGTTGACATAATGGAGTTATCCATCCATATATTAATTAAGGGCACCAACAACTCAGCAAATCCAAACTCTGAATAACAGAAAGAAAACTTACAGTCTGCCAGGAGAACATGACTGACTATTTAGGAATACTGCATTTTAACAGGAACCTAAGATAAAAAAATTTAATTTTGCAAGTCTGATGTCCATGTACAAAACAATAAACCTTGAAAAATTTATAGAAGTCTCAATATACTTCAGATGATTTGGGTTGGGATTCCAATTGTGTTTTATTAGAAATATACTTATGGATTCCAGACTCTGTTCAACCAGTACGGTTGGAACGGCCACGGTGTCACCCAAATGGATGCGTGCAGCACGCGCGCACATGCACGCAGTGTGCGCATGTGCTGTACTTGCCTGCAATGCTTCTGCAAGCCTCTGCGATGCTCCAGCTGCTCGGCGGACATCGCGCAGGGACCGTACATGCCATGGGGCGCCAAAGGCTTAAAGGACAGGTAAGGAGTTCAGGTGGGCAGATGGGCCCCCCAGAGCACCATACTAGAACGGTACCTGGTGCTCCGGGCAGGTTCCGGTACGCCTGTACCAGGGCATACCACCTGCAACCCACCACTGGCTTATGGCCTCTCAATCATAGCCCACATAAAGACTGATTAAAACCTCCAATCTTCTATGGATATCTTTGGGAGACCCATTACATTACACTAGGATGAATAACAGAGTAACAGAGTAAGAGAATGAAGAGACCGTGAAGGTCTTCTAACCGAATGACTTGCTTAAGCAGGAGACCTATACTATTTATGACAAATGGCTGTCCAATCTCTTCTTAAAAACCTTCAGTGAGGTTGTGAAGGCAAGCTGTTCCACTAATTAATTGATCTGTCAGGAAATTACTTATTTCTGAATTGGATCTCTCCTTAATCTTTCCATCTATTGCTTCTTGTCCTGCCTTCAGGTTCCTTGGAGAATAGTTTGATCCCCTGTACTTTATGGCAGCTCCTCACCTCTAGTTCTTCTCTTCATAAGACTAGACATACTCAATTCCTGCAACCATTCTTCATATGTTTGACCTCCAGTCCCCTAATCCTTTGTTGCTTTTCTTTGCACTCTTTCTAGAATCTCAACATCTCATCTTTTTTATATCATAGTGACTAGTTTAGATAGTCTCGGGTTCACAATGTTGTGTTGTGGTAAACTTAATCAGAGCACATTAAGCTATGATAAGGTTTATTTATTTATTCAGCTATCATATATTCAGTGAAAGTAGGTTTAAGTTTTAGATTGTTTTGGAAAGCTAGCCTACCTGTCAAACTACTGATAAAAAGCAGTCTAGTCTAGGCCAAAGATCTCTACTTCAACTTCTTCACATGGGATCTTCCAGATGCATTTGCATTTGGGGACCATTACCTAGGCCAGTGTTTCTCAACCTTGGTGACTTAAAGTCCACAGGACTTAAAGTCACCAAGGTTGAGAAACATTAACCTAGGCTGTACTGATGAACAAAACATATGTTACCACTGAAGCCTCCTTAAAAATATGTTTGTTCTTTGCTCCATTCCTAGAATAAAACTGTATAAGAAGCCTGGAATTCATGTAATTTTATTTGCAATGGAATTTTCTAATCTGGAATCATCTGGAGATGTTGGAACTGCAACATCCTTTAGGGAGCTGTATTTCTAAATAATTTGGAAGTCAACTGATTGCAAAGCTGAGCCATCCAGGATCTCTTGATAGTGAGATAGACAGCATATAAATTTAGTAAATGAATGAATAAAATAAAGCTTCCTTAGGAAAATCTACTGTACAGTTTGGTGTAGTGGTTTGGTGTAGGGCTAGCCTAGAAACCAGAAGACTATGAGTTCTAATCCTACCTTAACATGAAAGTTGGCTGGGTAACTTTGGGCTAGTCACACACTCCCAACTTACTTCACAGGCTTGTTGTGGAGAAAATAGGAGGAGGAACAAGCTACTATGATTTATCAATAAGCTATGGAGAAACTAACTAGGAGAGGCAGTGGCCTGGTTCAAACATATTGTACTAGACCATAATATACTTTGATTTTGATTTGGCATGTTGTGTAAACCCAGCCTTTCTACTCTAAACTATGGTTTATGACTTAGCATTTTGTACAAATTAAGCTAATTGTGGCTTACCCAATAAATCATCAAAAAGCAAGCAATATCACAGTGTGATATGTGAGCCAAATCAATGAGGAATATAAAAATACAACTTTTCACCTTGCTCCTCTTGACCCAATCTATCTGCCCATTTAGGCTAGGCTAGGGCAACATAGCATACCTGTTGGCTGTGGTAAGGAGAACAAGTGGGCCAAAAGACTAACAGAGAAACTGATTAAGAAAAGGCGTTTCTCATCCCTCCTCATAGCGGAGGCATTTGTCAAATGGAACAGGCTCCATTGCTTCAGGAGAGCGGGGGGGGGGGGGGGGGGGGGGGGGGACTGGTGATACGGAGAAAGCCCTAGGCTAAACAATGAAAGGAAATGCCAAAAACCTTTGACAGAGTGCCCAAGCTGCAGAGGAGCCAGGCTCCTGCCCTTTTTAAAACGTTAAACTTGGCAAGCACAGCTCTAGACGGAGGTTTAAGAAAAAATTTCACTTGCTGTTGGCCTCTCCAAAACAACTTGTATCCCACTATCTTGTTCTAGCCAAAAGGCTTCTCTGCCCGCCATGAAGAAACAAATAATTAATATTGCCTTTAATATTGCACTTGATCTTCCTAGATACAGTATAAAGATCACATAATTCCTGATCGAAGGGTTTTTTTTGGGGGGGGGCGGGTTGGTCTGTATTAAAAGACTGCCAGGGTAGGATAGATTTGTATTTAATCATTCCTGCAACAATGTTAGACAGATAAGATCCTTCCGAAACCTTTTACTCACCTCTGCTTCCTGCACGGTGTCTATTAAAAGCTTAGGGGCACTTTTTAAGGTGAGGTTTCCAATTATTGAAATAGCCTAGAAAGAAGCCATGAAGGAATGCCACCTAAGAAGAGTGGATGGGCCTTCCCTATTCTAACTCTCCTTCAGCTTCCCAAAGCACAGCAGTGATCATTCTGCATTATGACACTGCTCCAGAACAACTTTTCACAACCCAACATATTTTAAAGAGGATTTGACTACATCTCCCAGACAGCATGCTAGCTAGGAATTCTGGGAGGAGTAATTACTTCTTTGGACAATGCTCAGTTTCAGAAGACTGCTTAAAAACAGGATTATATTTAATCCAGAGCATTGAGTAAAATGAGCCCTTCCTGAATTACCTAGCTTTTCAAGAGAGAATTTCTTAACAGGAAAGGCAAGTGCTGTACACAAAGTACAGAGGAGGAAAAAAATGCAAGAGGGATCTTTCATGAATCCCAAAATTCCATGCTTTAACTCCTCCCTCTATAAACCTTCTATACATAACACTTTAAAGGGTTGGTGTTCTTATACCTGGACTATTAAATAACTTAAAACAGTGGAGAGATGATGAAAACAGCTGTAAAATGTCAGTCTCTACACCTGCTAAATTGTCACAGCCACAACATAACATAGCATTTTAATTCAAACTGCTGGCATAAGGAACCAGGCACGCAGACTGCAGCATCCTCTTTAAAAACATAAATGCACAGAGCAGAAAAGTATATCCTTCTCCCCTTTCCCATCTTTGGTGCAGTGAAAACTTAGGAAACTACGTTTTATTGGCTCGAGGCTATAGAGATACTGATAGCAGTTTTGGAAACTAACCGACTAGATCTTATTACTTTTTAGACAATGCTAATGTTCTGCTAATAAACAACAAGGCTAAAACCTCCGAGGAATACTTGGGTCGCAAGCCAAAGGAAACAAACCAGCTAGTATTTCTCATCTCCGTCCTTGGCTAAGCCAGCCCTACCTTTATGAGTGCTTCCCATCCTTGCTGTGTCACTCGTCTGGACTGGGCTGATGCTGTTTGTACAATGGCGTTTCTTTCTGCAGAGCAACCTCTCCACCAACTTTAACACCCCCACGCATTGATTGATGCATACTGCAGTCGCTGCAAACCTTGTAGCCCACAGCTGGAGGGGGTGGAGTGGGGAGTCTAGGATCGTCTCCCATGCTGCCTAGCAGAACCTCAATGATAGAGCTGTCTGCTTCTCCGTGACTCACTCTCCCCCACACACACACATACACCTCCCGCTCCGTCCCTGAAGGATTTCCCTTTTTCACACAAATCTAGCAGATGGCTTTAGACTAACAGCAGGAATGCTTGTTAGACACCCAGTGGTATTCATTCAGCCTACCCTATCCCTCTCCCCTTCAAATAACATATCTTAGTCCTCCTTAGCTGCAAACATCTGGCTCATTTCAAAGAAGCCTCCAATGAACAAAAACAACTCTGTGTTTTCCTTCTCCTATATGCTGCATAATGCTGCAAACACAGTAAGGGAAAGTGCCTGAATGTTTGCTTTCCAGGCCTCTAAAGAGGCCCCATGCCTCTGTTTGGTTTTGTTTGCCACACTCCCATTTATTGCCTCAATCTAATTAACAAGCAAGTTTTCAGACATCTTTAGCACGTGCTGCTGCACAGTGTTGGTAAGAACGAAGTGGGAGTAAGAGAGAGAAGGAAGGCAGTTAACATACATGGGAAAAGCTATCGAGTAGAAAAGATGACCATTTATCTTAAGAAAGGTCATCATTGTTATTGACGTGATTAGATGAACTCAGCTAAACTCAGATGGGGCTAGGAGTCCCTCTGTGGAAGCTTAATAGAGGATCTGAAATCATCTGCCAAATCATATCTCACCCTTCATTAGTATCCTGTATATTGAATTTCCAAGCAACAAGTATTTCATAGCAAGGATTGCTTTACTGTTAGGTATATAGTCCCTATTCACAGTTCATTACTTTAGAATCCAATACAAAAATGTCTAAACCAGATGAAACAAAAGTGAACTTGGATCTATTAGCACTATTACATCCAAAAAAAGGTCAGATAGAGATTATGATATGTAGTTTCCCATTCTCATCATTAGTTTGCTGATTTCATTATCTTAATAAATTCTCAAAGTTTAATAAATGGGAGCAACTAGCCAGTGATGTGCAGTCAGGGGAGGCAGGGGAAGCAGGGCCTCACCACTGTCATGATGAAAAGAAAAACAAAATTAAAAGGAAAAAGGCAGAGGTAGTTGCTGCCAGAGTCACAGTGGATGACTCTGGTTAGTGCTGAACTGCAGAGGGAGGCGAGAGAATCACGAGCCTCCTTTCCTCTAGCTTTATGATTACTTGAGCAGAGTTAAGCAAGGGTTAAAAGGCAAAAAATTCCTTATGCAAAGGAGGCACATGATTCTCTCGCCTCCTCCTGCAGAGGGCACTTTGTTTACAGGCTTTTTTTAAACAGTTAAGCAGAATCATTCACGTGGTGAAGCAACTATCCTAGCCTGGTTAGACGAGCTCTTGCCTTTTTCTTTTTGCATTTTCATCATGGCGGACAAGAGGAGAGTTGAAATCCTCTGACTGACACAGCTGGAAAAGGTATGTGGGTTGGAGGGAGGGGGTAGGGGCGAGGAATTCAAAATTATTTGTAAGTAATTGCAATTTGTTTTGTTATAAGTA